GTGCAATGTAGCTCTTTGACCTTTGGGTAGTAATTTTCCACTGCATACATATTTTTAAATGGAGTGATCACAGAACCCAAATCACTGTTTGTTAGGATATCGAGAGAGTAACCTTTTTGCTTGCTTTGTGGTTGGCATGGTGAATCAAGCTACAGACCTGGAGGCGGCTCTTCCAACAGCCTTCGTTGTGGCTTCATACTTCCCACGCTCTCGTGAGCCTGCACAGTGACTCCAAGCATGGACAGTATATACTTTAGGAAAAGAGAATATATTTTGTAGTAAGATGTAGAATACTTGCACTGAGGAATCTAAGTAGTAGAATAAGGAAAAACAATTAAACTCTTAGAGTTTAAGATATTAACAGATTGCAGGTACTGAGCTGGAAACTGGAATCAGCCGTCTAGGTTTTACCAATTAATTTCACATTCATCCTGTATGTGCTGTAATGGTTGTAGGTTTTTCTTATACCGTCAGCCATAATGCAGTTGCTAATGGTTTTTTTTATTATCCTTTCAGATAATATTCATTCAATATAATTCAAAATCTGTTTGTGATATTTCTCACATGACTTTAAATCTCAGTCTCTTCATCAGAGAGCAGAACTACCGTCCTGCGGAGTTTCTCCGTTTGCTCCTGCCTGCTGGGGATGACACAAATTCCTGTCTCTCTCTAGCTCTTCCTATTTCCATCAGTTACTTGGGAAAGACACTATCCCGAGGCTTCTGACTGGCTTGTTTCCCTGTCAGCCAGGATACCTGTTCTTGATCTGTTACACGAGCAAGTGATGTCTTAAGAGGAGCCCCGGACTAAAAGTGACTCAGCTTAATAACCACGTAGATTTAGGTAGAGGGTATGGTCTAAAAGCTGTAACTGCCTCGGCATCCTCCCCTTGTAAAACACACATTCAGGTGCAGACAGGGTTAAAAATTCTCTCTAGGTGATTTTTCCGCAAGAGGCTTTGACATTTGTGCTACAGTGCTGGTTTTTTTTTTCTTCTGTATGTCCCAGAAAAAAACGTCCAATTGGTTTAAGCATTGAATATTTCCCTCACAGACAAAAATACTGAAATACACAAGACAACATCAGCAACACACAAGAATACCATATATTATAGTAAATGTTTTATATATCTTATGATTATGTAGTATATATCTATACATAGTAGGTATTGATTATATTGTATATAGTATATAATATATCATAAGTATATACTATCCTTAATGTGAATATATTATATTATTATCTAATATAATTACTGTGTTGAATAGTGACACCATTTGTTCAATGACAATTGGTGCCTTGGGCACTGTTACCGTTACCTGTGTATTTCCTTTAGAGCAATGTCTTTCTTGCACAACTTCTAGTCAAAAACTCTTTTCACACCGCAGTCTGGGTTCCGGTTTGGGGTGTATCTTGGGTCTTCAGACCCCTAACCCTGAATGCAACATTTGTAACTGTAACAAAATGGTTGAACTTCAGTGTTTAAACCACAACAGTTTCTTGCAACTGATTCAAGACACCCTGTGGTAAAGAAAAAACCCAGAACTTGGGAGATCTTGGCTGGACTGCGGTGTTACTTAAGTGCTTACTCATCCATGCTAATAAAAGGAAAAATCTGCCACCTGTTTAAGGAAAAGTTGTGAAAACACAGATTTTTGTCATTATGTGTAACTTACACATTAAAAAGCTTGAGGGTGTGCAAGCTTAGCTGGTTTCTGAACAAGATACCTGAATCTGTGCAAAGTGAAGCAAAAGTTCTATTGTGGTAAAAAATTACTTGACTGAAAGGTACATGACGACAAGCTTACATTATTTTTCTGTATGGCTGTTGTGTTTAAGAATGCTGTAAGTTAACAAGTTTTTTTAAACAGACTTATGAAATAGGTTTCTTTAGCTATTATAAAATAACAATACAGTAATTTCTTGCTTGAACAGCCTTCAGTGGCCTATGTACATACTACACCAGGCCTCCCTTCAGGCTGGGAAGAAAGGAAGGACGCAAAGGGCCGTACGTACTATGTCAATCATAACAATCGGACCACAACATGGACGCGGCCCATTATGCAGGTATGAAATCTGTTATAATGCTCAGTGTAGATAGCAAACATGTAGCCTGTGTTGAGCATAATGTCAGCTGAAGCAGCTCTTGGGAACTCTGAAATTAAAAAAAAAAAAAAATCCTAAGCATTGTCATAACAACTCAGGATAATCATAAAAAATGGCAACGACTGGGATTTGTTTGCTACTTCCTTTGACTATATTAGGGTACAGATTGAGGCGATTGCTACAATGGAAGGCATTGACATGAGCTACATGAACTAATAGAAGTTCTTAGGGTTGAATCTGACAGTTGTGTTGATCTGTTAATAGTACCCTGCATTATTTGCCCTTCCAATGGAACTAGATTAAATACTTGATCTTTAAGAAAGTATATTTCATATTAAGAATAATAATAAATAGTTAAATCATTTTTTAAGTGTCCTGCCTCTGGATGAACTGTGTTTCTGACGACTTGCTAACTTGCTTTTGCTTCTGGATAGCTTGCAGAAGATGGCATGGTTGGGTCCACAGCAAACAGCAGCAACCATTTAAGCGAACCCCAGATACGACGGCCGCGTAGCCTCAGCTCGCCCACAGTAACCTTATCTGCTCCACTCGAGGTGAGGAACACTGATACCGACAAAGGTCTCTTAGGTCTGACTTCTCATTCCTGGTAACTTCTTATCCCCTTTGTACTTAGGCCACACAGCCACTTTTCCCTGTTAGTGATTTTGCCATAATATATTGCCATTTTCTTTAGCAGTTTTCCATCTGGATCTTTATATTGTACAACAGTATTACTTTTACGGTCATTGAATGATGTAAAATATATATGATTATTTAGTTTAGTCAGCTAAAACGCAGTGTGTGTGCATGTCTAAAACACACACTGTTGTGACTCCGAGTGCTCTGAATGTATAAAATCAGAAATATCTTATGAAGTTGAAACATTTATTGTGATGCTGATAACTTTGAAAATAATACATGCAATTGAGTTTGGAAAGTCTTGGCATTAAGATACTGATCACGTTTGACATCCATTTTCTTTCAAAAGGACATTTAATTTCTTTTAAGAATCTCTAAAGGTAATTCAGAATACTGTTGAATGATGTTGACTGCAGCAGATCTGAAGGATAACTGAAGCGGCTTCTTAGGCAGTCAGAGACGATGTGTGTCGTACTGCTGAAAGTGTGATTAAAACTCTTGACTCGGTTAAGCATGGCTGTGTTGAGGAGAGTAAATTCCCAAAAATTTCTTCTTCAGACTTAAAGTATGGCACCTTATTTGTCCTTTCCCACTGTCTCTTTCCTGTTTGTGTCCCCTTTGCCCCAGCAAAAGTTTGCCAGCCCTCAAGCGAAGGTTGTCACATGTAGTTTGTTTTCTGCATCACTCTTTGTTCCTTATACTGAAAAATACTCAATCTAATGAGCAGGGGTAGGATTATTGGACAGATTGGGTGAGGTGAATGTAGTTCATATTTAAAATAAATTATCTCTACTTATATGTAACTCAGATAAACCCTTTGACAACGAACTACTTGAAACCACCCTTGCCATTGTTAATTTTGAAGACCAAATGTCCTGTGATTGAAATAAATTAAAAATTCTGAACATCTTAAGGCATTCCTCTCCCTGCTGACATTTTAAACAGTTGGGCTGGTGGAAGTCACTGACTGCACATCTGAAACTTGAGTTCCTCAGGGCAGTACACTCGCTTTTAAGGGCAATAATCTATCCCCTTCACTTGAGAATATTCCATGAATCAGTTTGGTGGTTAGTTTGTTCGATGCTCGGAAACCACAAGGGTGCTGAAGCACCCAAACTTGTCATCTTATACCCACTTCTGAATTATTTTGGGTTTTCAAGAAAGTAAGGTGTAGGCATACTAATATGAAAATCTTAAAGGCTACAACCACAGGGAAAAAAGCAAATTCGGCTTTTTAGAAGTCACTTCCTTTGTTTAAATAGTTATTTTATTGTAAAACGGTCAACACTTTTTGTGTACAAGACACATGGAAAGCTTTTATTTAATGCAAGCTATTTTAAATGCTGCTTTTGATCGCTGTAATTTAACTGGTTTCCATCCAAATGTAGCTCAAAACAAGCCACAAATAAGGCTAGAATAATTTTGTAAATAGGCATGTTGATGCCTCATTTTCTAAGATAATTCTCAAAAAATAGTAATTAAATGTAGGCTAAGTTAGAGAATTGCCAAAATAAGCATGTGTGCATTTACTGAATCTTAATAATCAGTAAAACAAGAGGAAACAAGCTGTTGTATCAGCTGATGAGAGCATGGTTTTGGAAAGTAACCGAAAAGTATAAATTCAAACAAGATTTAAGCATGGTACTTAAGCCTTGTTTTCTGATTGTTACAGTCTGTATTTTCAAAGGTGAGGAAATCTGGATCAGATTTTTTGAGCTGTTTGGGCATCTCAATGTGCAGTTTCCCAGTGAAATTTAAAAAACCCAAACACATGGTGTAACTCCTGGTTTTATCCGATAGGCGGTGATCACTGAAGCAGTTTTGCAGCTATGATCATTTATTTAAAAAAAAACAAAACAAAAAAACCCCAACAAACCTGTCCAAAATCTGTAATTGCGAACCTCAATTTATTTCAGAAACCTGTTTTAAGTTTATATTTAATGTTTTGTTTGAAGTTACGTTTGAGAAATGCATTGAGAAGTGGGTAACATTGCCTCGCGTTCAGGGTATCCGTTGTTGTGAAGTGAGGTATGTTGCACCATGAAGCACGAAGCAATGCCTTCATTTTTTCCTTTGTAAAATGAAACACTGACATGTACAGGGCAGCTGCAGTAAAATATATAATCAAATGCAAATACTGTGGGCATCATCATTGTGGAGGGAAGTGATAAAATTCTGTGTCCTTCACGGCAAAAAGCTTCGTATGTTGTAAGGAGCAGACTTTAGCTAAATAAGTTCTAGGAAATCAGTCCCAGCACTTAATCCTAGTATTAATTACATCTGGAATGAAAACCTATTTGCTGTGATACCAAGTTTTATTCGTTTTACAGCATTGAGTGACATTTGCCAAATCTGAGTATCTTTCCTTTTCTTCAGGGTATGAAGGACTCCCCCGTGCGCAGAGCGGTGAAGGACACCCTTTCCAACCCTCAGTCTCCACAGCCCTCCCCTTACAACTCTCCAAAACCACAGCACAAAGTTGCACAAAGCTTCCTTCCTCCTGGCTGGGAGATGCGAATAGCACCCAATGGCAGGCCCTTCTTCATTGATCATAATACCAAAACTACTACGTGGGTAAGGGAGAGTCTGGATCTTGAGTTTTAAATTAGTTGCCATCTTTTAAATGTTTCTGTCTTTGGTTTCCTGCCTATATACCCCCCAGTTTATTTTGGCATTTGTCAGCCTAACTTTTGATAAAACTGATGCAGGAACCTCACGGACTCCCCCACGCAGTCATGTGCAGTAGCAATAGGCTCGAGTAGCTGATTTTGTGAAATGACTATAGAGAAGGAAAATTTACTTGTTCATGTCCTCTTAGATGTTGGTGCGCTTGTTCATCATGTACCACACGATAGTGTTTTGCATTTTGTATTTGACCTTTTTATACTTGACCAATCATTGCACACAAGTGCTGTCCTTTGAACTCCCCAGATTTGAGTCTGAGAGGCATGCAGTGCAATGCAGACTTGGATTGTCGTTTAGTTTGAGACTGTCTATAATTGTATTGTATTTCACTGTGGCTAGCCCTGCTTTTTTATTAATGTAATGTATGTACATCTTTGGTTAACAGAATCCATTTTATTACTTGGTTTATGTCAGAAGGATCCATTTTTCAGTAATTCTGCAACTTTGGTTAACAAATTGAAGAAATAAAATGACACTAGGAAAAAATGTCAAAGACGACCCAGCATTTCACAGCTCCATTGAAATATCAGTTGCCCTTTCATTTGTTAGGCATCATTCAGATGCCACTGACCACGATATACATGACATGTTTTTAGTGGTGGCTCTTAGTGGTGTTCCCATGTGCCTGGGGGTAAATTACATGGAAATCTCACGCATTTTTTTGTCTAGATTTGTCTTCTCTGGCCGATTTTATTTGCCCCTTTTTGCCTCATTTGCATGTTGGTGTAATAATACCTGTGTGTGAATAAAAATGTAAGCAGCTCATTTTCATCCTTTTTGAGCCTTTTTGGGGTAGGATGGCTTATTTCTCTTATGTTTTTAAGAGCCAAAAATGTGCATATATATCTAAATGCCACTGAGGGGAGTGCGTGCATTCCTAAGAACAGGGCTGTATGTTCTGAAGCACAGCTCTGGATAGGGCACACTTAACGGAGTGGAACTTACATCACCCTAACTGACTATTAAAAAAATCATTTCAATATATGAAACCTAATAAAGTGTGTGACACATCCAAAATACTAAATGTTCTGTCACTTTTATATCTTTTGGTTTATATGTTTTATTCTCAATAAAAAAGAATAAAAGAGTAACTGTAATTTTGCAGAGAATTCTGTGTTTGGCTTAGTGTATAGATCTAACTTGATCTGCTGGATTTACAGTTCTATATTTCTGTTACAGGAGGATCCACGACTGAAATTTCCAGTGCATTTGAGATCAAAAGCATCTTTGAATCCTAACGATTTGGGCCCTCTTCCTGTAAGTGCTAATGTGTATGTGTTTTAATGTATACCTGCTATCTTAGGTGATCTGATCTATTACTGCAGTCATATAATGTATGTGGACACATACGTTGCTGCCATCACTTTCCTGAAGATACTGAAGCTATGTTTATATATAGCACCAAAAAGCTTTATTGTGATCTGTGAATCAATTGTCAGGCTCTTTGAAGCCAGCTCATACTATTTCTGAAATGATTGCACGTTTCTTTGCTTATCTAAAACTTTGAGCTTTGAATAAACTTTCCTTGGTTTTAGCTCTGTCTGCGTGCTTTTGGCTAATTCCCTGTTGCGGGAGCAGATGTTCAAAGCAAGCTCTATTAATGTGCCAGCATATGCTGGCGTTCAAAAATCTAAACACATTCAGATTTTTTTCAATGACACTTCCATACGCTGCAGAGAAAATTATCATTTTTTAGAAGTTTTGTCACCGTTGTAACCAAACTATAATATTGATTTACAGCCATGTCAGATGCAGAGCTTTGCTTTGTTTTTAAAACATTGCATCCTTAGTGCAGAGACCAGTCTGTGAAAGCTAGCACTTAGCTTCTAAGGTGCTGATTTTTCCAGTGCAGTGTTAATTCAGCTCATTGCCCCATATATACTCAGCATCCTTTTTAGAAATTGCCATTGAAATTGTACTTGCAAGGCTGGAAATCTTAGTGACAACGAGCCACTGATTTTCACCAGCACTGCCAGGGCTCCATGTATTACAGACAAGCTGTCTGCAAACAGCTGCTGTCCCACCCTACAGGACATGGCAGGTTAAATTATTTCAGTTTTAAATAGCTTGAATGAGGAGTCTTTAACCCTACTCATTTTCACTGAGCTGGTTGCAGTTTCCTTAGATGATCTGCTCTGCCAGCAGACCAAAACAAGTGCTGCTTTTGGGCAAGAGCGGTGACAAATGCTACCTTCGGTGAGGAGCAATAGCCTCTGTTACCACCTATGATCAGATGTCCTCCTCTAAAACATCCTAAAATCTCAGTGTCCTTGACCTGATTAGTAAAAAAGTTTTGCCTTGTGTTTAAATCCAGCTGGGCCATTTGTCAGGCCCTGTGTCTTGAATCCCTGCTGACATCAAAAACTATGCGCAGTCGAACATATTTATTATGATGTATTTCCTGGTTGCAACGCAGCAGTCACGCAGTTTGTCTCTAAGAAAACAGCTGTGGAAGTAGCTGTCCTTTTGCAGTTCTTCAGCTACAGGGGGCGTGCATTAATTGTAACCTATATAAATAGCCAGTTCTTTGAATCTTCCTAGATTTGTGGCCTTGACATAATGCATCTGTGATCGGTTTGTGTTTTCGACCTCACAAGCATCTATAAGCAATTGAAGTAGGAATGGATAATGTATTGCTTCGTGCTGGGTGAGAGTGGTAGTACTTCACTTATCTTCTCTCTGTTTTTTATTTCCCCGGTCCAGCCTGGTTGGGAGGAAAGAATACACTTGGACGGAAGAACGTTTTATATAGACCATAGTAAGTAAGCACTCAGGTACTACAGCAAATAGACAAAGGGAGGTAATAAATATTGAAGTGAAAGCTTTATAATTTTACTCTTCATTTAGGAAGCCAGGTGTTGATATGTGGAGACATTGATACCAGAGACTTAGTGCCCTCGTACGGTACTGTATATTCACTGAAAGCTTGCTTTTAATTGGCTCATCAAGCTTTGTCCCTCTCTGACTTGTGAAGCATTAACATTTCTTCTCTGTGGTTTCTTTTGTTCTTGTTGATATTTTGGATTCGTTGTTGTTGTTGTTGATGATCCCATGGCTTATTTGCACTTAATAAATTAAAATATACACTAGGAATAGAAAATAAGATGAGAAAAGATCATATAGCCACAACTCCACATACAGGCAGTGGAGCAATTAGCACTGATGAGTACTCTTGCCTCTCCTTTAAGAAGGTCTTGTGGCAGTGCTGATTCTGATCTTATTTCCTATTTATAGCATGTTAAACTGCACCCAGCCCATTAATATTATTCAGTTCTGTTAGTGAAGTTCTAGTGTAAGTGATGTTTCATTGTAGACTTGTCTTACTACAGCATCTCAGAACTACTGTGTGAGTTTTGTTGTTGTTTGAAAATAAAGCAGCCCAGGAAGGTTGGGCTGTTTCTTTTTTTTTTTTTTTTTTTTTTTTATATTTTTTGTTGTTTTTTTTTTTTTTTATATTTTTTGTTGTTTTTTTTTTTTTTTATATTTTTTGTTGTTTTTTTTTTTTTTTATATTTTTTGTTGTTTTTTTTTTTTTTTATATTTTTTGTTGTTTTTTTTTTTTTTTATATTTTTTGTTGTTTTTTTTTTTTTTTATATTTTTTGTTGTTTTTTTTTTTTTTTATATTTTTTGTTGTTTTTTTTTTTTTTTATATTTTTTGTTGTTTTTTTTTTTTTTTATATTTTTTGTTGTTTTTTTTTTTTTTTATATTTTTTGTTGTTTTTTTTTTTTTTTATATTTTTTGTTGTTTTTTTTTTTTTTTATATTTTTTGTTGTTTTTTTTTTTTTTTATATTTTTTGTTGTTTTTTTTTTTTTTTATATTTTTTGTTGTTTTTTTTTTTTTTTTTTTTTTTTTTGGTAAGACTTCAGCTGGACTTTTTAATGAGGTATTCCTACTGATGGCATCATCTTCACAGAAAGGCATAACTCAAACCGTTAGAAGAGGGTACATACGTTATGCAAAACTCAAAGAATCAAAATCTTATACTGTTATAGGTATTTGGAAAAACTTAATACTCTCTTCAATGTCAGTAACGCTGACTCCAGTGCTTACAGGGGGTTGTATATATGGCATTATTAAAAGACGTTCTCTAAATTAATACGCATTTTGAAATTGTATAAATCATTTTAAATAAGAATTAGAAATAATACACTTTCCAAGCACACGATTAACCTCTTTCAAACGGCAGGACAGAATTATTCTTCATACCTTCTGTAATTGTTTTTCCCAACAGATATCTGGAAACTTAAATATGGCAAATTATGCTAAACTGCTGCCACTGACGAGTCACATGATACAACTGTCATACTGAGAATAGCTGTATAATTGTTGAGCTTCCCAACCTCCTTTAACAAGTTGTAATTTTTCAGTCTCCTAAATCTACTTAAGCATGTGTTAGTCTCTAAAACTAAATGGAATGTTAAAGTTGTATTTTAATTAGAATTCTCCAAAGAAGTTGTAATTGTTATAAAACTAAATTTATTTTCATCTGAAATCTCTAGTCCCTCTTTGATCGAGTTTTTTTAGGTTTTATATAGCAGTTTTTACAGAAGTTTAGGGCATTTCTTTTTTTATAATGCTGCTTGTTTCCAGCAAATATTTTTTTGGTCTTGATCTGGTGCCACACCACTACCATTACAAGTGGACTCTAGGAGCAGAGGCGGTGCCAGTGGCGTCCCAGTGGACACGTTGCAGCTCCGTCATGATAATGTTGTGCTCTGTATTTAGGGAGTGACTGAAAACAGCATTGGGTGCTCAGTGGTTTGGCCTGAGCCGTCTCAATAGCAGCATTTATTTTCACAGTATCAGTAAGGAAGTACAATGGCATTTGACCATAATGATGGGTTGGTGGCGGAACCTGCTGACTCGTCCTTGGCTCATGACTGACCTGAGAGCACACGGTCAAATCAGTCATGGGCGCGATCACCCTAAATAGGCCAGTCTCAGCAGTCCATTGCTACGATGAACTGGCCACCGTTTCAGTCATTCTTTGCTGAAGCGGTTAGGCAAGATGCAACAAATGCCATCAGTCGCATTATTAGAATGCAGTATAAATGTTGAAAGTGTTAACAGATTCGGCTGCTGTTCATGGCCTGGTTCCCCAGATACGTTTTGTAATTCTTCTGCATAGTTATCCAATACCCTTGTCCTATTTTTGTGATGTTTTTCTCATCCCTGAGAGAAACTGCAAACAAGTCCAGTGCAACCAGCACAGAAACCTCCTCTTGTGGAGCAATACAAACTGCTATCAAGCATGCCATATAAACTAGTAAAACAAAGTACTGGTAATTTAGGTATTACTTGTAGCGTAGTAGTCTGAAAATAGAATATTTTTAGATTGTAGCTCTAAACAGTCTAATTCTGCAGCAGTCAATCTTTCAACAAAAAAACACCAAACACCAGTCTCTAGTACTCCATGATTAGGCCTTAGCTAGTTAAGTCAACATTATTTGACATCCATGAATAAAATAGTGTTGTCTCGTCACTGTAGCATGGATATACTCCTGAATTTCCTAGGAGGCTGATGGGCTGCTACCTGTTGGAAGGTATCATGAAGGCAAACACAGACGTTTCCAACCCTATGCAGAACAGTTATCAGTGGTTCACTGACAGAGGGGTGGATATATTAAATGGGTTCCCCTCAAAGTCTGTCTTGGATCCACCATTTTCCAATGTACTCGTTAGTGATTTGAACAATGAATTAGGGGGAATGTGCTCGTTAGTTCAGCAGAAAACAGCGGTGCAGGAGAGCTGAGAGCTGCTCGCTGGAACAGGATGAGAAGGCAGAATGAGTCTGGCAAAGTGCTGCTGTAGTGTGAAGGTGCTGTTGAATAAGAGTTGCAAAGTATTACTCCGAATGGGAACAATTAGCAGAAGTTTGGTTGAAAAGGGCATGAAAAGTACCATCAACTGAACATGAGTTAACTCATCCTGTGATGTATCGACAGGAGCATCTTAAATAAGACCTGAAGTAATCCTCCTAATCTCATCAGCGCTGGTATAATGTCTAGGCTACGACAATTACTGCATCGAGCATGGGGTCCCAAACTTCAGGCAAATAGTGGACCACTTGGAAAGGGCCCAGAGGGTACAGAGGAGAAAAGGGAATCCTCAAAGGCCCTAGAGCCCAATTTATGAGGAAAGCAGAGTATTGGAATGAGGTGGAAAGTCGAGAGAGATGGTAGATTTTCAAAAATGTGCTGCAAAAGGAATTAATTTGGTATCCGCACGCACTTTGGGTAAGACAGAGAATCTTGAGCCACGATTCCAGGGAGAGTGGGTCAGACCCTTCTGATTGTTGGGGCCTTTACATTGATGCTATGAAGTCCCTGTCACTGTAATACTCTGAAAAAAAATTAGGCAAAGATTTGTTGGTAGTGCCATATACCCTTAAGTACGTAGGGCAATAAGAAAGAGTTCACAAACTTGCAGTCATTTCCAGTTCTGTTACCTTTGATTTCATAGCAAATTGCTGCCATGATTTGTAGCCATCGGTTTCAAGTAGGTGTAGACATGAATTGCCATAAACCCCATAAACCTTGCAGGAGGAAATTTGACTGAACAGGTCAAAGCAAGATGAACAGGGCCAGATGCGGCGTCACGCCTTCATGGCAGGCTCTGGTCTGTGGATCTCGTGTGGCTGCTGGAGCTGTCAGCCGAACAGCCTTCCTCCGTAATTTTGATAAGCACTAAATAGACTCAATGTGCAAAGGGAAATAAAATAGTATCTTAATATTAAATTAACTGATAGATCAAAATACTTGAAACGTGCTTGTGATCTTTTTAAGCTTTCTTCAGTTAACATTTAATGAGCATCACCTTTCAAATCCCAGTCCATTTCAAAACTAGCTTGGGATGCTCAAAACGTGCAGGTCTTTTTCAGCCGCAGAGACATGGAAAATACCTGTGGCTTAATACAAGTGGGGTTGGTTCTTTGCTTTTACCTATAGTAGCCATAAAAACAACTTTCTTGAAACTTAGTGTATTTCTTCCCAAACCTAGCAATTACAAAACTTCAGATCTGGACTGCTGTCTTAATACCCAGCCCATAAATCAAAGCAGCGCGTGTGACACACAGATGTGTTGTTATTGCCCTTTGAGTGCAGGAAACGGAGGGCTCAAGCCTCGCCATTGCAGGTGGCATCTGGTTTGGTTTTTGGAGCATTGTCTGATTGTTGCAACATCATCGTTTTGTTGTGATTCTGTTGTGTTCAGAATCTTGTGAGGAGCAGTTGTCTGGAGGCAGGGAGAGCTTCACCATGGTCCTCTATAGCCTTACCATATCACCTTCCTGGTGCTCTTATAAGCCATAGATGAAAAGAACTGGGTTCTGTCGTGTCACTGCCAAAACCTCCTTTGGTCAAACCTGAGTGGTCTCTTACACCATAACTGTATAATTCTGCCTCCATTAATGGTCCTATAACCTTTCATTAAATCGGTGTCTAGGACTTTTTTGTTAAAGAGATGTTGTTCCCTCCAAATTTAAATACAGACTGTCTTTTACAAGTATTACATTTTGGCTGCCTTCATGCAAAATTCCAAAAAAGTAAACTCAGTCTGGCATTTGGCAAAGTTTTTGGGTTCCTTTACCTTTCAGGCATGAAGTCTGTGTATTTCTAATATGAATTGAATCCAAGACCATGTTCGAACAGAACATGTTTACTACTACAGACGTTGAAATAAAAGCAGTGTAAATACACTGGATTCTGTTGTAGTTCTGCATTTTTGATTGAGTGTTTTCAACTAAACAGTGTGATGGGGTTTTGATGTAGGTGGGGGAATGCAGCCTTTTCTAACCCTGAGATACTAAGTTGTGGAAATGGTAGGGAAAACAGTCGTAGGGAGAAAAAAACAACATAAATTCACAGTGTGGTAACAGAGAAGTAATGATATAATTTCTTTCGTTACTTACAGATAATAAAATTACCCAGTGGGAAGACCCCAGACTGCAGAACCCAGCAATTACTGGTCCAGTAAGTACTGCTATGGTTTTTTTCCACTGAGTGCTGCTCCTCGTGTACCTTTGGTGTAGGCGGGGGCATTACCCAGCAGCAGGTCATGCCTGTTCTCCAGATCAGGTTAGACTGCCTCACGAACAGACCAGGGGGCAGGACCTCTGCCTGGCCTTGCCTTTTCCTGACGGGCATGGGAGGCTTGGGAGGCTTTCCTAGCAGTAGCTAGTAGCTAGGGAATTTTTCCAGTGGTACGGGTTAATGTAAGTGTAAAATATTCTTCAGATTTTTTTCTTTCTCCACACTTCCTGATACTATAAATTACTTAGTATGGAACAAACAGTATTAAATCTGTGCATCTTTTATTCCTCCCTTGTGTTAAAGTAGTACGTTTCTATATCAAGCTATGTGAAGGGCGCATGTCTGCTCTGAATCGTAAGTCAAAAGTTCTTGGGAATTCCAGACCAAGGTCTTTGTGCTGAATCCTGGATTGTAAGGATTTAAGGATTTATATACGAGATATGTTCCTATTTGCCCATTATCTGTGTCGTCACTGACAAGAGAATTTTACTGAGCCAAGACACTGTGCTATTAATTTTTGGATTTCTGGATAATACAAAGCTGTTTCCTCTTGATATGGGGGAGTTGTGACTATGGGGATTCAGTGTAAAAAAGACAAGAATTGGGTCTATCCGGTTTAAGAGACATAAAACTTACTGCAGGTAAATGAAGAGATTTCAGAATATTAGCCTTCAAAAAAATAAATACATGCTTTTACTTCAATATCATACTGAACTTGAACCAGAGCTTTGCAGTTTGTGATTCAGCCTTTGGGGAACAGAGGGTGTAACTTCTGCAGTCCTGTGGAATTCAGAATCATTCCTGTGCTTCTGAGGAATGACGCTCCATTTGCTTAGCTAGCTGTTTTACCAGCTCTGCTCTTTGGTCTTGAAGGAACAGCAGAGCAAAGGAAAGTAAGGATGTAGTTGGAAAATGTTATGGTCAAGGCCTGGAAGCCTTTTTGTATTGTCTTTTTTTCAAGGTCCTTTCCAAACCCCGATTAAATGGATATTGTATATGATGTCAGAAACAGGGAATTAAGGATTCTTAATTCTCAAAAAATTAGTTGTCAAAAAACCCCACAAACAATTAAGGAGTCTTACTTAAATACGTAGCAGTTACTTGTTAGAGCCAGCCCTGTCCCTGTCATAGTGTCACTGTTCTAGTCTGTTCCTGTTCATTAGTTCAATTAACAACTTTGTCTGATGGCCGTTTCGTCTGAAGGCTGAGTAATGTAGGTAGCAGTCATCGGGCTGGCAGTCGGGAGCGGGGATGGCTCTTACCCGTACTCCTGCTTGATGGCTGATGCGCTTCAGTGCTTTTGTGCCTGGTACTACTTGGCACCTCAAAAGCCGTGGCCTTTTTGGACGTTTGTATGCATTTCCTAGCTGGTGCCAAAGCAGAGGAGTCTGATGAAGGCGAGTGGGCAGCAGAGAAGAACGCTGCCATCTTGCCTGCCTACTGCGATGGGCAGTGAGCGGCGTATGGACTAGCATCAGACATGGCAGTCTAGCTTAGTGTCACAGCCTTGCTTGCCCATGCAGTGTGTTAGCAGGAAGGAGAGGCCCAAGGGTGAAGCAGAAATGGCTTTCAAAACTCTGAATGACAGAACTTGTGAGAACCTTTGTTGAGCCTTGATTTGTGCGTGCCTGGAATCGTCCTGAGAGGCCTTCCAGGTATCTGGAAAGCCACGTGTATATTTGAGACCTGTGGCATTTGTTAAGGGGTGCGTACATATGCCAGAAACAAATTTCCAGCTCTGCTGATTAATGTAATTCTACCAACCTTCACTGTGCCTTTTGATGTTTTTTTTTTTAAACATCTAAAATTGTTCTGTTATGCTGCTGTTACTTCAAAATGTGGTGTAACTCACAAGCAGCTGCATCGAGTGAGTATTCGGATGAATTTTACCCAGTGACTTGTACTTGGTTCAAAAGAATGTTGATTTGTTTATGAAATGCTTTCAGATTCTGGATTAAAGACATTATAAAGGTGTATATTTTCATTATAAGTAACTTACAATGATGACGTCTAGCCGTGGACATTCCCCTGCATAGGGAACTCTGCTGCCTAGGTGTATATTGTGTCCTGCACTTTTTGGAGGACAAACAGCGCTTGTTGTGACTGTCATAGCTTTATTGGAGCCCCCTAACTTGTTCTTAGGTTAGTTTTCAAAATTCTTTGAATTTTGTCTCTTTTGAGCAACACTTCACACTGCTTAGCACTTTCAGCTGTGCAGATCCATATTTTGTGGTAACACTAGTCATTTTTAATTCAGTATCGTACAGCATGCTCATTGTTTCCTAATGAGACATAGGAATGGCAGCGATACATTCCACATCTTTTTGTCTGTGTTAAAAACTGGGTTTGCTCTTTCCTGTTCCTAAAAGAAGAAAAAAAAGTGAGGGTAAGTAGTGGATAAACAGAAGAACTGGGTCCAAAGTTTTCATACTGTTTAACTCAAATTACACACTGAGAAATAGGAAAGTTTTCCTGCTGTACTTCATGCATGGTGGGGTTTATTAGATGACCTATGGCATACGTATGCAGATAGCGTGTCTTTAAACTTCCTTTTTTGTTTAAATGATGTTGGGATATCAAACTGCTAAGTAGCTGGAATAACCTGTGTTTCTGATTCTCTCCCTGATAGGCAGTTCCGTATTCCAGGGAGTTCAAACAGAAATACGACTACTTCCGGAAGAAGTTAAAGAAACCAGTGAGTAGAAGCGTACAGCTTTGGTCTGGAATCGATGGCGCTGTGCCTGGGAGAAAGAACAGACTGTGCCGAGCGTAGATACAGCGTGGTGGTGTGTCTTGCTACAACGCACCTGCAAACCGTTCTTGACTGTGCTACCCATAATGGGGTTCAGTAGGAAAGAAAAAAATGAAGTAAAGTTGGAATTCAATTGATTTCTCAACAAAAACATTTACAAATCTTTCAGACTCACATTTTTCTATATGAATGCAAAATCAAAGTGATGAGGCAGCATGGAAGTAGCAATGATTCGCAGTTTCCCATTGCAACTGAGACTGATTGGTACGTTTGTTTGCAAGCCTTTAGGCTGAAGGATTGGTATTTCTCCTTCATCTTCAGCAGTGGCCTTTGAAGGGCAGAGCTGTAACAAGTTGGCAGAGCAGAGCCCACCGTTGTGCTGGATCTGGCACAAGCTTCTAGTGTTCTTGTTCTCCAAACAAATCTTTTCAGTAGCATCTTTAATGTAAGAGAGCACTCGGTGGGAGCTTGCATATGATACTGACTCATCACTAACAGTAAACAGCCTTGGCAACACCAACGCTCATTTGACGTGTGACTTGCCAATGTCTTTATCTGTTTGTGGATAGCTCCTTGAATGTGCACCTTGGGTTTGGCTGGTGATTGCACACGATAAGCACTGCAGTTGTCAGGAAAAAGCAAACCTTCTGAAACAGTTGTTTCAAGTCAGTTTTATCAGGAAAACTGCACATGGCTGTAACAGTCACGCTTATCTGCTCATCCAGTTGTCTTTCTACAAATTCTTAGCTCCCTTCTCTTCTGCCTGTTCTGAATTTAGCTCCCTGGGCATTAGCTCTCTCCTATTTAGGCAGAACTTCTAAAACATTTTGGCAGCCCGCTTCTCTTTTGTCTGCATCTTTGGAGTTCAGTTCTGTTGTGTGTACGGAACTATAGGTGTTCTTGTTGTGAAACTGTTGGGGCCCCTACAGATACGTGAGTAAAGCGGTTGCATGCATCTTGTGCATTTGTTACTATTTTAAGCTAAAATGCCCTTAAAATAGAGTATAGTAATATCAATCATTTTCTCACTTTTTGGGGGGGCTGTTTGCTACTTTTCTTGTTTTCATTGTTATGTCAAATATCATTGCAATCTCGGAACCACTATACTGGAACTTACCTAGTTCACCATATGCTGTCAACCTGTAGATGTAGAGAGCAATGGAAAACAAAAATAAGGGGAAGCTTCATACATCAGATATCTAATCCGTCATTTAGTTGTTATCACTGGTTGGTAATTTGCCTGAAGACTTACTTATTGAGAGTAACAAGTGTAATATAATCTCCTTTCACATAGGCTGATATACCGAACAGATTTGAGATGAAGCTACACAGAAATAATATTTTCGAGGAGTCCTACAGAAGAATCATGTCTGTGAAGAGACCTGATGTGCTAAAAGCCAGGCTCTGGATCGAATTTGAGTCAGAAAAAGGACTGGACTATGGAGGTGTGGCCAGAGAATGGTTTTTTCTCTTGTCCAAGGAGATGTTTAACCCTTATTATGGTCTCTTTGAATATTCAGCAACGTAAGTGTCCATTGAAATATTTCCATTCATAAGGGACGTACGTCAGATTTTGCATAAGAGGCAAAAGCAGTTAGCTCATCCTTCACGGTGCAGCAGTACGCGCTCTTACCAGTCAAATCTCTGTTCTGTACCATAATGTCTTACTTGCTTTTCAGAGAACCTTTCAAATTGTCATCGACATCTCATAAAACATTTTCATTATTAGGACAATATTTGGTGTTGCCTTGCTTGCAGCAAAACTGCAATTTTTGAGGCTGGTAATAGTGAAAGGAGCGATGTCAGATAGGAGACTCTTTATGCCCTCCCATTACATTGTAAAACACATGCTGTCCCTAATTACGCTGCTGCTTTATAATTAGCTCATAAGGCAGCTTCTCATTTGCATTTTGGTAGTTACACAGCAGTGGCCTCACCGAAGTTTAAATTTGTTCTTGTCCAATTTTAAACTCTTTGAGCAATCAATTAGTGTAAATGAGAGGGCGAGTCTCTTGCTTAGAGTACATTTGGTTTAATACGCTGCGTGCAATTCCACGTTGGGTGCTTAGCTGCAGTGGGGCTGGATTTCTTAATTGCAGGCGGTAGCTTTGATGGTTTTGTGTCAATGTCAAGTTCGCTCCTTTCTCTCGTAAGTGTGGGATAGATTGGAAAGCAGAGGGACAAGGACAGCGTGATGCCAGTTTTCTTGCATTTGTGTCTCAGAAAAGACACGTTCTGCTGCTGAAGGGAAACACCTCAAACAGCACGGTCTGGCACAGAATGCCAGTTGTTAACAGAGTCCACTGGATAAACACTTGTTCTGAATTATTGCAGCTTACAGGATACAGGTCACTGTAGACATTTTAAATATCGTGTTATTTCATTTTAGGTTCAGAAATCTAGCTAGTTATTTTAAGAAGTAAGACAACAAAAAATCTACTTAAACCACCCATATCTTTCTTCACAGCTTAAGAATATACTGCAAATTAAAAATCCTGCTTTTACACGAACGTTCTATGGTGACACGCACTCCTACATGAGTCTGAACGCTTTGTTACCCCGTTAAAAGGTCTTGGTCCTTCGATGGCCTTTTCCAGTACCCTGGGGGTTAAGCGTATTTCAGAGGTGTTCTCCAGTGTGTGCAGTTTACGGTGCTAGTAAGAGCACATTCTTATCCTGGGACAGTTGGATCATGGGCTTATACTTAATTCCGCTTCAGTACCTTCAGTTATTTCAAGAACTAAAAAAAACTACAGCAAAATTTTAAGCCCTGAATCCTGAAACTTTAAGCCCTGAAATTTGCCTGGAAAGTGTGAATAATCAAGCCCGGCAGAAGGCAGAAGATAACTTGGCTGAAATTCCCATTCCACTGAGTCTGATGGCAAAATTTTACTGTTCTCAGTGGAGCCAGGCTTTTGTCCTTTGAAAAGATCAGCAGAGCCCTCTTACGCTGCCACAGGTGGAATCCTGTTACCCCACAAGCAGGAGTTTGTTACCTGTGTCAAATAACCCTCCTGGTCGTAGCAAGACGGTTCTGATGAGGTCAGCCTACCCCCCAACTGCCAGGTGCTTCTGCTGAGGCTCACGTGGATCAGTTACGCTATTACAGTCTTGCAGAAACGAACAGGAAATGGCCCTAAGCTCAAATTATTTGTTAACAAATCTGACTATCTGGTTATTGAAAGGCTTGGTTATTTAGATGTTTTTTTTCTTTCCCCAAAAAAGGGACAACTATACACTTCAGATTAATCCTAATTCAGGTCTTTGTAACGAAGATCATCTGTCGTATTTCACGTTTATTGGTCGGGTTGCTGGTCTGGCAGTCTACCACGGGAAGCTGTTGGATGGTGAGTTACTGCGCTGTATGCCTATGCTGCTGTTACTGGATTTGTATTAAATGAAACAAATCAATAATTCATATACTTCAGAGTGTAGTATTTCTGGAGACAAAGTCTGAGAGAAAGTAATGGACCTGGAACTGTTGCAAATTGCATTCCTGGTGTGAATGGTGATTCAAAAATGATAGCGTTTTGCTCAGCAAGTATGTGGCATGTAAAGTCTTGCTCCTTTCTCTGCTTGTGTTAAAACTCCAGGATCAGCACTGCTAAATAATCACTATCCATAAAGGAAAATCACTGAATTTATACCAGCCACTTCCATGCAAACCTGCAGCCAAAGCAGTTGCGTGGCCGTCAATTGCAGCACATTTTGATCTGTAAAATTATTACTGAATGATTTAATGAGAAAATATGATTTCTGCTGAACTCTGAAATGCCACAATAAGCAAGCAAGCAAACATTATAAACTGGCTGTGTTACATTTAGCGATAGCACAGCACACTGGAAGAGGCAGCTCGCTGTCCTGTTTTTCTAGTGCCTCCCCTGAAAGAAAAATGGCAATTTAAAGTGGATTAGAGTACCTTGAGCTCAATTCCCCATCTTTTGTGTCTTTCTACTGTTAATGTTACTGTGTTTAATGGCATAGGGTAGTTAATAGCCTAATTCCATATTTCCATAATTGAAAAAATTTTACTTTCGGTGCCTAAATAAAAAATGAGCCTGCTGTGTTAACATGAGCAGTTACAGCACTGGGACTTCCAGGAGGTTTCTTCCTCCACTAGGAAACGCCACCCTTGAGCTGTCATGCCTTTACCCAAGGTGAAAATGCAGAACAGTGGTGGTAACACTCTTCCCTCTCTTTTAGGCTTCTTCATCAGACCTTTTTACAAGATGATGCTGGGGAAACCAATAACTCTGAAAGACATGGAGTCAGTGGTAAGATAACATTTAAGCCATATCAGCATTAGTAACTATGTGTTTTTTCCTCTGGGGAAATCTGTAAGAGCTAACAATTCAGTGAACTGCATGGTGGAAAACACGAGGTCATAGCTGCAACAGCTCCAGAAAGATATGTACGGGCTTTGGGACAGCTGTTGCACTATCAATGCACTAGCAGTGGTGAGAGGGACAAGGGACAAGAAACACTAACAGGCCAGTAAGAAACACAACACAAGATGTCTGATTATTCTTTCGGATTTTCCACTGGGTCAGCTTCTCCCTGTTAGGAGCACCACCACCGAGCCCTGCAGCTTTCTTGTCATGCTGTGGAGTGGGAAGAGGGGCGTGCAAGGGCTTAGTTCTGACCTGGAAAACACGGGAAGTTGCCCGTGGTGCTGGAAGGGGAAAGGGTTGCCAAATGATAAACACTTCTCTCCAAAATACACTCAATGAATGCAGCCCACCTTATGCCCTTATATCTGTTTTGGTTTGTTCCCCGCGCTTCCTCTACTTTCACACCTTCAGCATTAATGGCAATCGAGTACTTTTGTGTTTAGCGCTCCCAGGGAGAAAAGCAAATTGTTTTACAAGTTAGGAATCTCTACCTTCATATTGTGAAATGAAAGACAACAGCGGACAGGGTCCTGCAGATGCCCAGTCTCGATGTGTAGCTAGGTAGGGTACCGCTGCTGGAACACAGCACGAGTTGGAACACACACTTCAGATATCTACGGTAGCTAAATACAAGTGGTTTCCATTAAGTTAGCTGGATGATGCTTGGTTTTGTCTTTTTAACCTTTGAGGTCTGTCCAGTTTTTCCACTGCTATGAGCTTTGGAGAACCTTGGAGCTGTTACTTTTCCCCTTTCTAACATCTTCCTCAGCCATTATACAGAACAGTTTACCTGGGTCAGACTGCTCCAGATTGCCTCTGTAGGGGCAGGACTTGGCTGTGAGCCTGGCCGCTCACATCCTGCACTTCAGCAGCAAAGTCATTGACTCACACACGCAGCACAGAGGCAAAATCACAGAAGATTAAATAGCTTGAGCTCAAGTGCAAGCTTAAAACCAAGATCATGAGGTACATATCCAGAAGGATCTTAAAAGGAATATCAGGTTCTTGTATTCCTACAAGCAGTTGGGAAGCCTCTTCCTCTTACTCTTAGCTCTGCCATAGCTGTCCTTGGTCTGGTCGAAAGTAGACTTGGTGTGAGAATAAAAAAACCGCGGTTTACTCTCTGCAACATTCCAGAGTGCTGTAGGGCTTCAGTTACTGATACAAACGCTGCTCGGTCTCCTCCAGCTCCTGCTATTTCGTAGTCGCCAGATTTTCAGTGGGTCATTCTTCTCCTGAAGCACACATGAGTAAATAACGTTTTAACTTCATTTTGAAATTAATTTTTTTGACTCTCTTGCTTGGAAGTGTTTAGTGACAGCTACACATACAGGTTTTTTTTCTTTCTTTGTTTCTTGGGTCAGTCCTTAGTTATGAACCTAAGACATGAGGAAGTTACAACCCTTCTAGGAAATCAGAGGGTTCTTTTACCAGCAAACTTCAAGGCTTTTAATACTAACAATGCAATTGTTATTGTATATTATCGGTGTAATGAAGTTGTATATAAATTGCATTGAAAAGAATGTAGTTTTAGCAATTTTCTAACCAATTATTTCACACCGCTATATACACATTTGCCAAATAGATATGCAGAGTCGATTTATTGCATTGTATAGTAACGCAATTACAAGTCAATTAAGAAAAGTTACATGAATCTAAAAATAGAGCATCTAAGAAAAATACATAGGAATAAAGGAATCCCCCTTACCCTGCTTTACAGTGGCTGTGCAAATAAAGGAGCTCTCGTCTCCCAGTCCCTTTGGAGTTCTGATCTGAGATGGTTTGATGTGTTAGTTAAACTATACATTTAATGTTCATATTTTCAAATTGTGTTTAATTCTAATGTGCTGCAGGATAGTGAATACTACAACTCTTTGAAGTGGATCCTGGAAAATGACCCTACAGAGTTGGATCTCATGTTTTGCATAGATGAGGAAAACTTTGGACAGGTATGTAAATGTTATCCCAAAAGTCCGTATTTCCTCACTGGTTGCTGCTAAAAAGGAACTAAATGCTGAGCAGTATTCCCCCGATGGGGGACGCCAAAGACGGAAGGATCTTCTTGTCCACGAGCAGTGTGGCATCTTTGTGAAAGGCAGGACTTGTAGCTGAGTAAAGCATGTGCAAGGAGGAGTAGTAAAGGTGTCCATCTCTGAAGGCAGTCTCAGCTTGGGACTTCACAGGTTGAAGAGGTTCTCAAAGGACAAAGTAAGTGGTAGGATTATAATCAGGGAAGTGCTTTGATTATGGTTTCTTCTATATAATGCAGGCAGATGAGGCAACAAAAGCAAGCATGCCTGTCCTAAGAAGGTTCACAATCTGTGGATAACCTTCTCCATTACACATGAAAGCTGTTAGAGACGTATTTAATAATTGAGAAGCGAGTAGCTGGGATATAATTCATCAGCTGAAGTTCTAACTCATTTTATCAGTGGAAGGTGTAAGAACAGCTTATGGCACGGTTCATCATGGATTTTTACAGAGAATCCTATTGAAACAAACGTCCGTATCGGTTTCTGGATGGAAATAGCTTGGGTGCAGATAAACGGCCTGTACATACGTATATGTGTTAAATTTAATTTGAGGACTTACAGGCAAATAAATCATGATTTTACTTACATGAGCTTAGAACTTACTTGCCTGCTGTGATTGGGGTTTTTATTTATTTGCAAGCTGTGGAGCTGAACCATTTTGTGATGCATGCACGTAAGTAATGACTGAAACATACTGATTTTGTACAATATTGGGACTTAATATTCCTACCTGTGTCTTTTAAATTAATTTGCTTATAGGCTTTTATGCCCTTTTTTAGTGTCTTCACTTCGTTTAACTCTTAGACCTCGATACCACTGGTGGTGTGGACCACAGTGCCTTTTTCAAAAGCTGACTTCAAAATTTCAAAACATATGCACACAGTGCACTGTCAAGAACATTCCGATCCACCTCTTGGTGCTTATCACTTTTTTCCTGAAGCAACATAAGTTTGTCAGTTACAGGGAAAATTAGGGAGAAAACTAACACTACAGGATGAAACGTTTTGGTAATACACCGGGTTGGTTGTTGGATTATCTTCTATTCTGTAATGATTTAGCTTCAAATTATTGATAGCCTTTCACTGCCAGCTTTCACTTCTGCTGGCAAAAGAAGTGCTTTCTGACTCCAACCATGAATCAACTTGCTTGGAGATACTTTCCGCTCTTCTCCCAGCTCTTTAATACCTCACGTAGCTACTCCTGGCATTGTCAGCAGGGCTGGCTTTTGTTTAGTTTCCAACAGACACATCTGATTCCAGAAGAGATGAATCTTTCAGGTGCCATTCTGCAGTAGGCCCGCACTGCGTAGGCACAAAGCAGATCGCTGCTGACGTGCGATGCGTAGCTGAAAAACGTTGCAGGCTGTGCGGGAGCGTTCATGCGGTCAGGGAGATGTCACACACTGCTGTGAACAGGAGCTGCAGCCTGAGCCTCCCTGGCTCGGTTCTTAGTTCGCCTTTTTATTAAACCTCTGCCCGTGTTGTTTCTGTATGTCATGGCTGCAAAGGAGTTAATGGCATTTATGAGTTGTCTTGAACATCCCATTTCACCACGTTCTTACAGTGTGTGAGGGGTTTGGAGAAGTTCCCTTCGTATAATTGTAAGAGTACATCAGACAGGCTTTGCCTCTTAAAGAAATTTATTGTGGGGACATGGAATAAAGGCACCAAAACCATCTGTCCTACTGTTCTTGACATGGCCGCTCACCTTCTTACCCCTGGAGTTTTTCTCGTAATACAGCGGGTGCCTGTGGATTAGAATCATAGGATCACTTTGGTTGGAAAAGACCTCTGAGATCATCAAGTCCAACCTTTAACCTAACCCTGCCATCCCACCACTAAACCCTGTTCCTAAGCACCTCATATATCCTTCTTTTAAATCCCTCCAGGGATGGGGACTCTACCACCTCCCTGGGCAGCCCCTTCCAGAGCCTGACAGCCCTTTCAGTGAAAGTTGTGGAGTTGTGGGTTGTGGAGCTTGTCATCTTTGTGGATGCAGGAATCCGCAGGCTGCGGCTGTGCAGGTGGTACGGCGCAGTGCTCTGATCATGCCTTGGCTCCAGTTGGAGGGACCCCTAATGAGTAACTGATTCCACGTGCTCAGTCAGTGCCCAGTTTATTAACAGCAATAACAGCTCTTGTTCTAGTTACCGTCATGTAAGTTCCAGGTGTTGAGCTGATACTCCAGCCTTCCCGTATCTCGGAAGGAGATGGCCGTTTGGCTGGCTCTGCAGCAGTAGAGATGAGTGAATGTGAAGTTCTCTTGGCTAACTTTTACACATCAGCTCCCCGAGTTAACAGACAAGTGCCAGTAGTAGTAGATATAATGATACTGCTTCCATCGTACTGCTGGTGATATGCAAAATTGGCAGGACGAATTTTATCAAAGAAAAGCCTGACTAAGCTGGGTAGTACAGGGACAGGACGTGCTGTAGTGAGGAGTTCACCTAGCTAGAGATGGAAACACCTTCCCAGTCCAAACGCCTATAGGACGCTTTATGGCGATGCAGTTATGGCCAGTGCTGCCTACACTGGCTTTTTGTGCATGTGCCGCGGGCCGTTGCCAGCACTGTGGGGACTCCTAGAAGTCAAGCGACCCTGACTCACTCTGGCGCTTGTTTTGCCTCAGCTACCGCTAAACTGATGAAACTTGATAGAAGTGCCCTTGGCAGCCCGAGCAGGAGATGCTGCTGCTTCCCCAGGGACATTGTGTAAGAGGGAGGGGTTTGCGTCGCTGTAAGCTTCTATGGGTATTTATACCTCATTTATCACCAAAACCTTCTCTGGAGTTAGAGAAAAACAAGAAACCTCTAACAAATCTCACGTTCTTACTACCCTTCCTTACTCAATAACTGAAGGTATGGTTTCGGCAGTTCTCACAAGTCTGTGAGCACCAAGAACCACAAAGTAGGTGTGCTCAGCACGTGAAGGATGGAGAGCTACCTTCAAAAAGCAGAGAAAGAAAAGGTCCATGTTTCTCCTAAGCTCTTAATGGCTCTGCGATGCTCTTTCTCATGTCTTAAAAAGAACGTGTCTTCTGGAGGGCAGGGAGAAGCAAGCACCAAGCAGCAGCTTTCTGCTTGTGCCGTCACGCCTGTGGCCTTCATAACTTTATCCCGTTTGGCTCTGACAGCATAGCAAGCCTTCTCCTTGTTAGTCCTGGGCTGTCTTCCCTGGTCTCTATGGAGTGAACAAGCTCCTGTTTCAGAGGGGCGTCAGTCCCCTGTCCATCTCTTGTCCCCGATGGTGCAGCCACCTTCATTCCCCTGCGCAGCAGGAGGGGCGTTTATCCAGGTAGACCTGTCGTACTCTTTTTCTCCTTCTGGAGACGTTCAGTGTTGATCCAGTCCTGAAAGAGCTTTCCAGGCTCCTCTTTTCACAGCTCCATTAATTAGCTAATGGATTTACTGTCTTGCTGTTACTCTGGAGCACAGCATCTGATGTAATGATCAAAGATTAGTAACAGCTTTCAAAACAGGCTTGGCTGAACGTGGGTGCACAGAGTCTCGTCGTGGTTGCTTCCACTGGAGCCATGGGTTTGAAGGGATGGAACAAGTTGGCTGGAACAGAGCGATGGCTTAGAAGAAAGAAAATACCCGGCTTTCCTTCCCTCCTACCCAAGCACACGGGAAATAAACCCCGTCTGGTGCCTGTGCTGCCCTGAACACCGGGCTCTGCAGTCAGAAAAACACTGCTTGGCGGCTGCGGCGCCGGAGCGCGTGGTTTGGTACAGCTTAGCAGGGGCAGCTCTGTGAAAGCTGCCAACGTCCCGCTTCCCCGGTGCCTACCCAGCACCAGTCCTGTGAATCCCCACGGATAAATCACTTTCTCCAGAAACAAATGTTGCTTGGACTTGCTGTAGTTCTTTGTGAACTGTAATGAATTTGGTTTGCGCTCCATGGTGATGCCATCCTTAGCAAATTTGTGCTAAACCATTTCTTACTCTGCTTTTCTACTTCACATTTTTGGCCTTTTAATGAAACAGTTTCTCTGTGCATTTTAAGTAATCATTTTTTTCCAAGCATTCTGAAAAATCAGAAGGCATCTCTCTACCCTTACTAAAATGCAATATAGGTTTTCTGTACCCAAAGGGACCTGCTGGTCAGGACTAAAAGTTTGCTCTTGAATGGTTTGCTCACCTGCTAATGACAATAATTCATTCTTCTAGGTGATCAGATGAGAATTTGTTCCTAACGATGCCACCTTTAAATGTGGAATGGTTTGATGTCTTGTTAGCTGTTATGGCCTAATAATTACCTGATGCTACCTGTAAAATGCTGCTCAGGGAGAGTGGATTTTGTGAGAAACGTGTCCTGAAATAATGTCATGTTGTGTTTGCATTTTTTTCTTTCAAAATACAGACGTACCAGGTTGACCTGAAGCCCAATGGGTCAGAGATCATGGTAACAAATGAAAACAAAAGGGAATACATTGAGTAAGTACCCGTTTATGGCATTTACCCTGAGCGGGCGGGAAGCACGGCTGCGCTCGCCTTCGCCTGCCGCAGGGCTGGGGGGCGGCTCTGCCTGCTCCAGCTCCGAAGCAGGCCTGAGGTGCCACCCTGGGATTTACAGCCCTCCCTGGTGAACTGCTGGGCCGCAGATCGAGCGCCGATCTGAGTGCCAACCTGGATCTGGAAAAGGAATGAAAATAGGACGTCTGTGTAGTTTATTGAGTCCGTGTTTGCTTGCCAGCGTGGGCTTCGTTCAAGGAGGAACTCAGGAACTCTGTAAATGCTTGGGCGTTCCTCCCAGAGGAGCCCCTTGCACTTGCTCGTTAGGCTGATTGGCAGTGTTGCCGTAGAGTGCCTTGGCCATAGTGGTGGAACAGGAAGAGATGCCTGGGGGCAGGGCTGGTGCTGTTGCTGGGTTACTGTTATTGGCACTGTCCGCTCTAGTTTTTCAGGGATGTCGTCTTTCAGTTTTCAGATGCAAAATATTAGACATTACAGACTTCTTTGATCTCCATCACCTCAATACAGTGCAGAAACAAAAAGCTTTGAAAGTGTGTGGGCCAACATTCAGAGCTGAGTTAGGTTTACATCTAGGTGATTCCTCTGTGGCCACTCACAGTGTTTTTATAACTTTAGAGTCAATGCTTGCGTGCTCTCCTTTGGAAATGATTAATGCAGCTTAAAATTGATCAAGTATTTCCCCCCAGAATTCCATTGGGATAGAACTGTTCTGGTTGTTACACTTAAAACAAAACAAACCAACCCCAAACCACCAAACTGCCAGGTGTAGTCAGAAAATGTGATTTTATTTTTCTTCTGTATCGTAACATCCCGATGTTGAATCCTCACACATATGTAGTGCTCAGGATATCGGGTAGATGATGAAGAATCAGTGTGTAATTAGAAGTTTGCATTATTTTATTATTTAATGTTTATTGCAGAAACAAAGGAAAAGAGATAAACTGACTAAATAGCTGCTAATTAAAAAGCAAGGTTATTTGTTTAAGCATTATGAGAAAATCAGCCTAGGAATTGTCTAGTAACTGTCAAGTGAACAGGATCCAGTGCTGTAAGGCCGCCTCTGGAATTGAGTTTATGTGGCATTGGCTGATAGAAGAACAAAAACAGAGTAAATTAAGTGCTTGGTTTTCCTGAAGTCCCCCTGTAGGAAACGTGCTTCTCCCAAGTGTGGCTCAAGGCACCCAAGTTAAAACGAGCCCGAAAGTGCCGCCCCGCGTGGCCGCTGCCCCCTGTCCTTCCCCGCCAGCTGCACAGGCCAGGCCCACGATGTCAGCACCAGCGCTGCCGTCGAGGATTGGCCAAACCTCATCAGGCCGCTCGCATTTAATCGTAAGCTTCCCCCGTGCTGCTGCCTACCAGAGTGTAAAGTAACAACTTTGACTGTATGTGCTGGCATTTTTAATTGGTGCCTCTTCAAAGGGGAGACAACATTGTAATTGCTCTATGCATGCAAATTAGGGACGGAATGTTCTTCGGTAGGGAAGCACTTGGGTTTCTGAAGCGTTCCTCTAGAAGCCGAGAGGCACTGGTGCCGTGGGTTGGCACTGACACGCGAGCCCTTTCCTTTGAGACACCGCAGGGTTTATGCCTCTCTGTTCCCTGACAGGCTCTTGTACGTAACTGCCTCTGTCCGCACGTTTTGTAGACTTGGTTGGGAGTTGTTAATTACTCAGAGCTCTGGAAGAGTGAAACCTCTGGGTGCCTAATACTAGCAGTAAATACATCAGCCGGAGCCCGGATTACGGCCTCATTTAGGAAGAAAGCATCGTCAAGAACTTGCAGGCTGTTCAGCCCAGAGGGAAGCCCTTTTGCCGGCTTCATCCTTGAACCAATCTCCATAGTGACAAAACAGTTGATGGCGTGGCGTCTGATAGCGTTGCCTCAAACATTCTTGGTGATGTAGAAAAGCCGTAGCTATAAAACACGGAGGGGTGTGTGCAGAGTTTGTGTTGCCTGCTAAAGTGAAAGTGTTTGCACTGTAACTTGGTCAGAGTCGCGGATCCAGCATTTTGATCGTTCACACAAGAGAAACTTGAACTCTTGATACGAAACTCCTTAAAGCGGGGGGCGGCTGGGAGGCGGCTGAAGTTGTACGTGAGAAACGGGAACCGTTGGGCTCTGCAGCTTTCTAATGCGTGTGTTTGTGTTTCTGTTTACCCACCCTAGCCTGGTCATCCAGTGGAGGTTTGTAAACAGAGTTCAAAAGCAAATGAACGCTTTTTTGGAGGTAAGGTTCTTTAGCTGCTTTTTTTTCTCCCCCAAATAATTTTTTTTTTCCTAATGAAGATTTCTTAGAGCTCAGCGCCTGCGTGAAGGGAGTGGGGGCCGTGCCTAACCTCTCGCTTCTGGAACGCTTAGGGCTTACCGTTTCAGTTTCACCTTGCACAACAACCGATAATCCTTCCCTTAGGAGAATCAGGTCTTCTCTTTCAAACTTAAATTATTTGAGCTAGAAATAGAGTGATTAATTTTTTAAATCATACTTCTGGTTTTTAATCATCCTTCAGCACCTGTGTATTTCATTTTCTAAACCCTTCGCCGTCCTCTGTTGTTTGCTTAGGTTCCCTGAAGCCTAAGATCCTGTTAGGCAAAAACGTACTTTTATGTGGTAGGAGAACTTAAGCCTTGCTTCGCTTTCTTCTAGGGCTTCACAGAACTTCTCCCTATTGATCTGATTAAAATTTTTGATGAAAATGAACTAGAGGTGAGTTTGTTTAATTGACGTCCAGAGACACCAGATCAGTAATGCTCATCACAAAGCGATGCCTTATGTTCTAGGCTCGTCACTCATCGCTTACTCATCGTAAGTGAATTTGCAGACAAAGGTGCTTTGCTTATAGTGGGAAATGACATTTTTCTCCCTAATTAATGAATCCACTGATCGCATAAAAGCACAACAATTTGTAATGATTCGGCGCGGTGGTTGCGTATGTGCATATAAAAGCATGTGGTAGCTGAGTGCCTGAATGCCGCTGTGCCTCAGCCCGCCATAGCTCGAGCCGAGCGCCTTCAGGGATGCCGTCAGCCGAAGGGCACGTACGGCACGGGGCAGCGTTCCTCCCGTGAAAGGAAAAGCTCTCCGAGAATCCTCCTTTGCGCTTGCATCGGTATTCGCACTGCTTAGCGGTTCGGGAGGTCGGGCAGCCGAGGGAAGGTGTCGCCTTGCTTTTCTGACGCGCGCGCAGGGTCGCTCGGTCCCGGCCCCACGTAACTCCCTGCCGTTTATTCCCGTGCAGTTACTGATGTGTGGCCTTGGCGATGTTGATGTTAACGACTGGAGACAACACACCATCTACAAAAACGGTTACTGCCCAAACCATCCCGTTATCCAGTGGTTCTGGAAGGTAATACTGTTCGCTGCGTTCAGCTTCTCTGACTGTTCCTAAAAGTGAAAGTTCCTGTATTGTTTTGTGGTGGCCATTATCAAATCTTTTTTCTACATGAGAACTGCTGAGGAACGCATCTGGGGGGGGGGGGAAACGACAGCCACGCGCTCGTTAGAGCCTGCACTGGAGACAGACCCTACTACTGAAATAGTTTCCCATAATAGCTTCAAATTTTTCAAAGGGCTGCCTGATTTTCCTAAAAATACCAGAAGCTTACAGCTTCGTGTATGCGCTTCAGGCTTTGGTGGTGGGGTTCTTGTACCATTTCCCTGACCGTGGGTGGCACCCGCGGAGACCTTGTGCCAGCCCCAGCGGTGCTGTGGTCCCAGAAGGCTCCGAGGTCCTGCTGTAGCCCAACACCAACCTGATTTTCTGTGCTCCTCTGTCATCTCTGGTCCCCCTCCGGGAGTGCACCATCGCAGCGCGCCCGCTGAGCCCCGGGCAGGCGCGGTCACTGGCCCCACCGAGCCCCAGCCACCCCAGGCGGGCAAAGAGCGCTTGGGGCTCCCAGCCGCCGCCAGAGCAGCGTCTCCTTGCTGCGGCCCAGCGACGGCTGGGAAGGCCGCTCCGTATTTAATCAGAGAAAACCCGGTTTGTGACCTGCATCGCCTCTTTCAGAGCTGTGTCTGTTACAGTCTGATACCGGTAACTTGCTCAGGTTTGGGTTTGGTTTCTAACGGGGGTATCAGCAGCTGTGAGAGGACAGTGACTGCATGTTTGTTTGTCAACAGGCCGTCCTACTGATGGATGCCGAAAAGCGGATTCGATTGCTGCAGTTTGTTACTGGGACGTCACGCGTGCCTATGAATGGATTTGCTGAACTTTATGGTGAGTTCCCCTTCCCCTGCCAGCAGATCACGCTCACCTCTAGGACGGCCGTGCCGACTGCTTCTGAACACGGGCGGGAAAATCTGGGCACGACTGAAATTCAGTCCTAGCCAACCTTTGATCCCTCGTGAGAGTTCTCCTTCCCGATGCCAAGAGCACGGGAGAATTGGGGGGGGCAGTGAAAAGGAGTGAAGTTCTGTACGCCATGGGCGTTAGGGAGGCGCTCTCCTGGCTCCCAACAGGAATAACATTTATGTCGTATGAAGAAGAGGAGAACACACGTTTAACCACGCACTTTAATTTCTCTATGCTAATGTCCAAGCTTACAACTTGTGCATTATACCCACCCTCCACAAAGGTAGTCAGATAAACTTAGCGAGCTGACGGGACCTGGAAATAAATAACCAGTGTCCTAGTTCCTTTGATGTAGTTTTAATTAAGAGAGTTTGTACCACGTGTTTTGCACCAGTTGAAAAATCTAACCTACACTTTATGCAAATGTTTAATTTTTAAAATAATATCTGGGTCGTTGCTGTAAGTGCCCAGCAATTTATATTTCACTATTTTCTTTTTCAACCAGGTTCAAACGGTCCTCAGCTGTTTACAATAGAGCAATGGGGAAGTCCCGATAAACTGCCCAGAGCTCACACGTGGTAAGTCGTGACCGCACCAAATGGTGCGGCTTGTCTGGATGGTTACGCTGCCAGGAAGGGGGGAACGGGTGACTCCGCTTGCCTCCAGCACAGATTAGCTCTGGGTCACACGGGGTGCTCTGAAACCGCGCGCGTGTGGCTGTAGGTTTGTATTTAGGTGAGGCACAGAACAGTCGGGGTTCGTGTCTGCTGAGCCCACCAGACACAGCCGCAGGGGCCAGCAGGGCTCCACCCTGGCCCCGGGCCATCGCTTCCTGCAGTCTCCAAGCCAGCCTGGCTTTGCCCGCCGATGGACGTGGGGAAGGCTGCGTTAGCAGAGTGAGGGGGTGTAGGCGTTCTGCAATACACACAGGTAAATTAATACAAAATAAACCCTTCCCATCACAGCCTTTCTGCTGAAGACTGCTATTTCAGTCCAACTGACCCTTTCAGCTCAGGACTTTATTTCTAGTAACTGCCTGCATGTTAAAATGTCTGTTAGAAGAGAAAGCTTTTTTCCTGTCAAAACTGGGGGGGTGGGAGAAATAGCAAGAGGAATTGTATCTTCCATGAATGTTACAACACAGGCTCTGTTCTTCCCTGTTCTGGCAGTCTGAAGGCTTTGAAAAATACAGGATAGGCCACAAACTGTCCGAGAGAGAGGCCGTTGGAAGGGTAACAGGGGTTTAACAGGGCACGCTGGAAGGAGAAATCGTGCCTCACCTTGAAAAGCTCATGCTATTCACTGCTCGCTTTTACATGGCTTAGAAACTTCATCACCTCCTCCTCTTTCCTCCTGGAGAATTCAGAAATTGAAGGATGTCCCTGAGGTGGAGAAGCTGTTAGCTAACATGTGAGGCTATCGTCCGGCTGACTTGACTTAATCCCGATGCAGAGAGTTTGCCGATGTTGAAAGCAGGCAGCACCAGTCTGTCTCGTGCTGTTGCATATCAAGAGTAAGGCTCCTTAGGAAAGATCATTTTTAGCACATTAGTACAGGAGTAGTGATCTTACCATTAAAATAATCATTCTATAGAATAAGAGTTTTGTTAAAAAAACCCAAACCACCACCAACAACACAACCCCAAACATGCTCCGGAGTGACCCCGTCCTCTGGACATTTTGGTTATCTGCTGGCGTTTTACAGGACCTTTTCAAGACCTTTTCTGGGTGTTTCTTCCTCTTCCTTTCCCCCAGAGCGTAGAGAGCCTGTCCTGTAGATTCACAACATCTTTGCTGAGCCTTAGGACACCAGTCCTTGATAAAGATGAAATGGTTTTGATCAGCTAAAGGCAGGGGTGTGTGTGGGGGGGTGTCTGCTGGGTTTTTTTCCCTTTCCTAAGTGGCTTTAACAAATTCCCCCTTCCAGCTCTGAAGAGGAAGGCGCACGCAGTTACTGCTGAGCACTCCCCTTGTTAGGCGGGGCTGGTGTCGGGAGCCGGCTCGGGGAACACCAAGCCCTGGTCAGGTTTGCGCAGGACACTCTGGCGGTGCCGCCTTTGGACAAGGAGCTGTAGCCTCTCTCCCAGTTATTGAGCGTTTTCCGTTCCCTGAAGGTTAGGTGTATTTTTCAATGGGTTCTGAAACGATCCTTTTCCTTCTGATTTCCAGCTTTAATCGCCTAGACTTACCTCTGTATGAATCTTTTGAAGATTTGCGAGAGAAGCTACTTATGGCAGTTGAAAACGCGCAAGGATTTGAAGGCGTGGATTAGCACGTCGGCCTCTCCCCCTTCGCGCGAGCCCTGCTTGCACGCCTGCGTTTCCCAAGGGACTCGGAGTGACTACGGCGGCGCAGCTGCACGGCGTGGGTCGACGGAGTGAGCCCCTCAGCTGCCCGGACCCAGAGGGTTGAACTGTAACCTGTGGGTGGCTTTGCCGACCCTCCCACAGCAATTACCAACTGCTTAACATGAA